ATGTGGGTGATTTCGTTCACCCTAGGGATACAAGTGTACTCCACATTCAAAATATCCTAGTGAAGCTTAACGCAAACTACCTATGAAAGATTCATATTTGTTGCTCAACATCCAGCTGCCAGAAGTGAACTCTTTGCACTCAGAATTGTCAGCATATGAAGTGATAATCAAAAATATCCAACAAATAGGTGAACAAAGGGCAAGCAAACACGAATACTTACAACTCATCACAGTATCCATTGCAAAGTAGAGAAGCAATGCAAAATATTTCTGATTTCCGTTCATAACTCGTTGATGTCTGAGTGTGGAGCTGTGCAAAATTGAAGTCAGTGTGTATGGTAGTTAGCTACTTCTCAACAGACACATTTCCACATGATGCTGGCTGCCATGTTATCCAATCATAACACACTGGGTCAGCTGATAGCATATTACTTGAGATATCTATCTGTCAGTTTCACTATAGTTACTACTCTAGTTTTGTTGAATGCCTAGCGATTGCATGAGGGAGGCTATGATTACGAATCGATTTGATTGATTCTCATCATGTAATATCGAATATCTCTATTATGGATTAGTGTTGTGATTGACTGGTATGGTTCTGAAGGCAAATAACTGTGTGTGAATGTTTGTGGAAGCTCTGATTTATTCTTCGTCTATGAAAGATAACTGTTTGTTTGTGACTGATATTCAGATGCAACAGAGTCGGTTGAGAATGAGCGATGGAAGTGTTGAGCAAGGGGAATGACGGGATATGACAGTTAGTCAGATTATTAGTCAGTACTTGTGCTGTGGTACTTGTGATGTGGAAATTTGGATGGATATTGTATGTTTGCATAGTTGTGAAGGCTACTTTGTGTGGATAGTCGAATTACTTCATTTTCTGACAAATCTAATTTTCTAACTGAATTGGAGGAGTCAGATTATTTGCTAGAGTTTACTTTGTGTTCTGTGAATTCACTGACTGGCTTAGTGGGTGAAGTGAGTGATTTATTTGACGTGTACCTGTAACTCAGGTGTTTGATTAGTGCCCTAGGTTGTTGGTTAGTGATGTAAACTTGATACGTGGTGATGGAGATTTGATTTGCAGGTGTAAAGTGAGACCGAATTCTTTTACTATTTTGAAGTGTACAGAGGTTTTCTGAATTTGTTGGTAACCTGATTCGCTTAGTAGATATGATACAATTGTTTCCAAATGCATCACACTAGAGTAACAAGTTAACCATCAGTTTGTAAATAAATTTGCGGAATTATTGTTCCAGTAACTGGAAGTAATTTTTCTTTACTAAAATGCAAGAGTACTTATCATTTATGTTGAACCTATCTTTTAAAAGATGTGTTAGTGTGCAATTCGTATTTCTGGCTGTTTAGGTAGCACTTTCATGAGATTCAAATATGTAATAGCTACAACGTAATTGTCATGGTGGGTGATATTAGAGTGAGCTTCTTCAATGAAACTCCAAATTGTGAGAAGAAAACTTACCAGTATTCATAGGTTTAGTGTTGATATTCATAACGAACTGACACCAGCTAGAGAAGTGCTGGAAACCTGGGTAACTGAACAGCTGTTTCTCCTTTAGATAGTAGTCCTCAGTAGTGAGCAGCCACCGTGACGGCAAACGCGTAGCAATTGAGCTATTGGGTCTGAATTTAGTGGCCCACATTTTCCTACTTCTGTCAGTTTGCCACATAGCATGACCAACATCAAATGCTGTCAGTGATTACATATCATTGAATCCGACTTCGTTCGTGAAGAAACTTGATTCTTCAGGAATTTACTAACTAGTCATGAAAAAAATACTCCCGAAGAACAGGTAGTATTCCATTCAGATCATATGTATACTCAACATATACGTCTGCACAGAAATAATGTCTTTATTCCTTTCCCTTCACTATTCCTTCTACTGTGAAATTAATAGGTTTCTGCAAAAACTTCACTTCGAAATGAATCAGAATGTGCAAACTGTTCAATTGTTGTCAACAGAGAATGCTTTATTGCTTAAAAAATCACGCTTTATCTTACCTCAGTACTTCTATTCTTTTGAATAAAATTAGGTATCATGCCATTTTTGACTTTCGATGATAGCCTGTTTGGTTATATTATTCACATAGAACATATTTATAAAGGAATAAATATTTGTGATCCAAAAGTTTATTGAGAATTTATATTGTCTTTTGACCGACGACTTAACTCAGTCCAGTCTGAATAATATTTAACATATTAAATGTGCATAAATAACTTATTCGAAGCGAAAAGTGCTTCTTGTTTCTGATTCACTTTGTCTTAGATTGCAATGGCATCCACAATCCCATAGCAATAATGTTAACAAACAGATGGAAGCGTTTACAAGTATTATATGTATGAAGTGCCATTATTGCACTGTAAAATATCTAGTTCATTATGACGACTGAGGATCATCATGTTTTCTGAAAACGTCACTTACTTTGCATTAGGTTTCACATGTGTGACTCAATGGATTGAATAGGATACACTGTAGCGGATGTTTTCATTTATATTAGCAACTAGGAGAAAAGGTACTTTGCTGCACATGTAGTCCATATTTGTATTCCACTCATGTGGTTTCCATGCTTGTAATTTCCAGGCTTTCCAGACCTTTTGACTTGTAACTATTTACATTCTTCTCAGCGTCAGTGGAACATATTCCGCAGGTGTAAACATTCTAAGTACTTTGATGAAGTTTAATCTCATCAGACAAAAGTGGTATAAATCTGCACTCGTGTCGTGTGTTTGACTGGATAATGTTTCACGCACGCAATCACGGGAAAAATCTCATCGACGCTGTGCATAACTGCGGTGACTGATTTCTCTCTTTGAATCAGAGTGCCTGGTTACTCTGAATTCAAATCAATCCCTGTAGTGTACGTCACAACTGCAGGAATAAACAGTATTTCATTTCTCAATTTTTCATGAGTCCGAAATGTTGGTTGCAGCAGTTGGCCGTATCGACTGACCGCCGCAGCCAATTGTTATTGTCAGATACAGGACGTAAGTCACCACCTATGAAGCATCGTACACTGGCTCCTCTTCCTGTGTCTTTACCTGCACTACCAAGTGACTGCTAATTCGATACACTGAAAAAGAACTGCTAAATATTCATTAATTAATGAGGGTTATTTAGTAAACAATTAGCAGAATGGCTGTCAAGGATTCAGCATCATTCGACTTTCTCAACAAGGTTTAGGGAAAATAGACTGTTTGGTTAACGTAATAAGAAGATGGAAGTTATCAGAGATTTTTGATGTATTGGCGCAGTACATCTTGAACAATCTGATTATGCATTTACATGTCAAGGCATTTGATATAAAGGATGAAAATATGGTGGGGTAACATAAATAAACTAAGGTAACACAAGATTTGGAAAATGTCAGGATAATAAGCCTACACAACTTTCTTGGCATGAGATAAAGATTAAGGTAGATTTATGGTAAGGACAAATCTTTCTTGAATGCAGAAAGGGAGCTTGGACTTTTGTTTACCTAAAGCCTCAATTGAACCTAAGTGTATGGTCTTGATGGCTCCTATACAATGGTCTAGAGGCCGTTTTAGGTTCGATTCCATGACCTGTTTATATAATGCATTTACCTATAGAGGGTAACATCTGTCTACCTCCTGTATTTATCGAATCATTTGAATGTAATTGTTTTTTTCCCGCTATTTAGGGATTTGCTATACCAACCTTGAATTCATAGTTGGATTATTCCTCCCAATATATGTATCACTGCACACACATGCAAATTGATAAATTAGTAATCTTTATCTTATCTTAATGCCAAAGTAGGTTTGAAAATGTATTATCCTTCCTTATTGTCCTGACAATTTTCAAATCTTATATTATCTCAATTTATTTATGTTGCTTCCTAATATGACGTCATGCAAATTCATTAAAGGAACTAATTGTTTCAAAGGTAGACTATACTGCGAATTTGAATTACCAAGTACATGTGTACCAACTGTATTCAATCCGTAAACTAATTCTTAATGTTTCAAGATGCATTGTAACGCGAACAGATGACAAAGATATCATCACAATATTTGATGAAAAAGAAGCTGTGAGAATTATGCTGATCAGTGATCACTTTAAAATTGGATGGCTCGAATTCAAATACTATTAGGAATGACGACTAGATAAATATATTGTCTAGAACCATACACACATTTGAAAGTCCATCAAATTAGTTGACAACGGTATTAGAGGTTCGGATGTTGACACTAGTCACTGAAGAGTTACCAAAGATGAAGTCGAGAGTAATGTGAGGAAGAAAGAAGAAGACTTCATCGTTTTGTAGTTTACGAACCTTAGATTGTATGAAGTACACAATCAAGAATGGGATGGAGGGTGAGTAATCATCTTAGAAACACAAATGTAAGCTTTGATTCAATAAATATCATTAAATTTGTCTGTGACGAGGATATGCTTGATTGTAACGACGAACATTACATTACATAGAGTGGTGAATTTACGGGATCTGCTGGTACATTAGTGTTATTTTTGTAGTGTTTAATAGTTATCTCCCTTTTTTTTAAAGATTTTTAATATTTCTCCGCAGACTGATGCTCGGTCAACGCATCCGGCATGTGTATCAGCTGATAGTAGACCCTGCTAAATCTTCTTTATTGTGCATTACCACAGAGTGCGTGACGGCTTTCAGGTTATCGCAGACTTCCTTGACTGATATCTGTCGAACTTTCGAGAGGTGAAACAGTTTTGGAAGCTGTTTACGCTTTTCAGCTAAATAGCGTGACTTATAAACCTGTGAGAACGAAGGTGATAGTCTTATAATTTGAGTAGTGACAGTTTCTGCACAAAAGCTGCATTCAGTATCGCGGTTGAGAGTCAAAGAGCTTTCACCTCCACTAAGTACATAGTCACTAATGTCAAAATATTTCTAATATTGCAGTGGAAGATAGAGAATTCACAAACACAACCATAAACGCATATATTACTTGCGGATATTTCTATTCCATTAAAAACAGAACTGGATGAAAGTTCACATTAGAAATTTATTTTCAGATATGAAAAGAATCAAAGTAGTCTCAGTTAATACGCATATGAAATGTAATCAAGCAAATAATGAATGTTTCATAATGACAAGCTACCAGTGGACATTTCTCCAATAACAGCATAATTTATGCATGCAAAAGCAAATCCAGTTAGCGTGCATTGCCTGTTACCGAAGCTATCAGAAAAACGCACAAATTCCAGTGAAAACGAGGGAGAACAGTACAACATTGGTTTGGAGTACAAATTTTGACATTCCATTGCATAGTTCTGTTGCACAACAAGATGTCCCCTCCTCATGTGGGGATTTACTGCAGGAGTTATTGCAGTATTTGTTAATATATCCGGGACCCCTAACAATCTGGAAATGAAATCCAGTAATGTTAAACTGTATATTTTCATTGAAATAAGGAGTCTGATATCAGAAAATGTCACCTCTTTCATACACTAGAGTTTGAAAAAGAACTGAAATGTAATACTCCACCTTATATTTAACTGATGCATGTTTTGAACGACAAAATGCTTATCTGAGCATAGGAAACTCGTGATTCCATCAAATGTATTTCCAACTATTTTTTTTTCGTGGATTTACCTGTAGAACTGGATGGTTAGGAATTCGGACTGATGGAATTTGTTTTAATGGTATTCTTATGTTTGTTGTAGGGTGTTTTCGTCTACGACGTTTTGCATTTTCAATGCATATACATTTATAACTACTGTACCTGTAAACTACATTTATCAACCTGTTGATGTGCAAATAATTAAACATAAGACGCGTAAAACAGAGGCATTTAAGTTTTGAAATCAGTGGAGACCAAATGTTTCATCGATGTCAGTTATCAAACTCTTTATGCATATATTGGTGTGCAAAAAACCGTTGTCAAAGCATGATGAAATTCATAGCAATAGCTTAATAGTATATTTGTTTATTTGATAGAAGACACAGTGATACAATATTATTTACTTGACGTTTCAAACATAAATTATTGCGCATAATCTCATCAGTGTATTCACACAGCATTCTACATCTCACTTTTATTGTCATATCACCTCATATTCTACATTTCCAGTGGTTGTTAAAGTATCCACATCTCCAGTATACATGTTTCATCGTTCTCACTATATGTGTTATGTGTTAATTTAATATACAATGAATCAATAATCAATCCTTCTCTCTTTCTCTCTACTTCCAAATACATTGAAATATATAATAAGAATTATAATCTTCCTGTTCGAGGGTTAGTCAGTAAACTTGAACGACATAGGCAGACAGAAGGTTGATACACAAATCATCATGATTTCCATGCTCGCTTTGTTAAAGATGAAATTATTCTTATAAATATTCGTCTACGTATTTCAGTATCTGCGGAAAATGTCGAAGGAGCAATAACACTTTTCAGGAGTCTGTGTTCGAAGTTAGAATGTTTACAGGATCTTTGGAAAGTTAGTTACCATGTAGGATAAAAGTGAACAATTAAATGTAAACTTGAAAAGATAGTAAGCAGCAGAGATTATGAATTTTAAATTGAAATGTTAGACAAAGCAAGATTAGCTGCTTTTAAGAAATCCAAAAACAGTAAAGCAGAAAAGTCCTGCAAACTGATGCAAAAAAATATTCCTCGAAGAGTAATCAGACTACAAATGAATTATCATCAAGCATTTATAGAATGAAGTGGGTAGCTTACCTCTTAGCTAAAACGAAAGTACTTAAAAAGCGACTAACCCTTAACGCAATAGAAATTATGGACAAGTCACATTGGTTCAAAAAGGTTGATGAACATAGCTAAACAGGATCATATGAAGAGATCGAAAAACTTTTCGGGACTATCATGAATAGGATTAGAAAATCTTCAGCTGATCTGATACGCCTACTGCAATCATCTCTGAATGAGTCTATATGGATAAATTTACTGTATAAATCTAATAATCCTGGCAGAATTTACGATACCAACAAGGTTAGTTAATCAAGTCATCCCATTAGACTAATAATTGACTTCAGGGCTACTCCAACATATGGCGTCGGTATCATGTAGTATTAAGAACCGTTCAAATTCCAAAGTAGTCAACTCTCACTGGCAGGAAATAATATTTTATAACCTGAATATGGGAAAGGCTGAAAAGTAATCCTTTTCAACGTAGCAAACCTTTATGCGAAAGTACCAACCAATTGAAAGTGGATGCAGTTAGAAACCGATACTCAGAAATTACTCACAAAACTAAGGGATCATTTGATAAGATAATGTTAGCTTCAGTGTTGTAATTGACATCCACATTCTTTATTTTCAAGACAAAATATGTAGAAAAAAGGAAGTATTAAGAGTAGGCTAACAGTTATTCCATAATTTATCGAATCAATCCCATTTAAACAACTTATGCAACGCACTCACGAACACAAATCAAACTTGTCTGACAAGAAGAGAATTTTCATCCTACTTTCAGTCATCACCCAGTATCGATATTAGTATGCCACACCACGAATACTTCAGGTAATCAAAATGATGTTTTCATTTTGCGATCATTTTGCTTATTTCTCCACTGCCTAACTTTCTTTTGTGATGCAACTTATATTGACTTTTGACCAGGAATAAATCTGGGATATTCTATTCTTTTCACTAAATATTCACCGATTTACAGCTAAGGGAATGATTTGGTCGAAAAAAGCATTTATCTTTGCTGCAGTCGTATGCATTATGCAAGTGTCTAACTGAATGTACTGAAGGAAACTTGATTTATTCAAACCCTATTGTTAATAATCTTCAGAAATCTTGATACTGATTTATTTATCCACACTACTGATTTTTTTCAGTAACTTAGTTTTCAATCTTTTCAGTTTTCCTAATATTTACCAGTGACGGGTGACCATATCAACTAATAAGACTTTCATCTCATCCGAAACTATTTATTTATATATTATCTGTCCATGCACTAAGGAAGTTTCGAAACTAGCGCCTGTCATTTAAAAGCTGATAAATCTGTCTGATGATAGGCTATCACCGTTCCAACGACGGCCAACCAATCATTCTAGTATAGAAAACTCGTAAAAAAGAATTTCAAACTATAATAAGTGCATTAGCTAGTAGTATGTCATTTACTAAATTAAAGTTTGAAGCAGAAATGTTTCATCGATTTGATGTCAGAAATTTTAATCTGCTTTTCTGCCAACATATATATTAGTTATTTAGTAATGATAATTACATCCAAAGATTGACCTTGGTTGCAGTGAGATACTGCTATAGTGTACAGAAAGATTTAAAAATCCCTCACATACCTTAACCTTTTTCCAAGCAATCACTTTTCTTCGAAGTTTCAGAAAAAAGCATGTGAATCAAAGTGTAAGTATCAGGTTGTTTGAAGAGACAAGAGTAATTCGATTTAAATCTAATAGGCCTGGAAGTAGCTAAGACCATTGTAGTATATATAAACCTTGTAATTTGTAACTATTGTTGATATTGACGTTGTAAATACTGTTTCAGTTAAATTACTGCCTTTTTCCATGATGAAGGAACTGAGTGACCATTAAGTGCGGAATCTGTAAGTATTTGTGCAAACGTTCTCAAATATTGTAGTCCACGCACATGCATAACTCAGACTTTATCAAGCCACTGTAAAAATGTAAAAGATACATACCCATTGTTTAAACCTGTATTATGTGACCCAAATTATAATGGCTGAGATACAAGACGAACAATATTTATTGGAGAATATTACTTCGGGTGTAAATAAATGTCCAGTTCATCTTAAACATTAATCTGTACAGACAGGTTGACGGAGTGGTTATGAGATCTCCATTAAACTCAATATTTGCAGACATATTTTTGGCAAAATTGAAAAATGGTCTTCAGAAAGATAAAATTGCTAATATGGAGTTGTGCTGTCGATACATGGATGATACTTTTTAGTCTTTGTTAAGTGCATATGTAATAATTCTATTCTGAACCATTTTAACGGCATTCATCCATCAATTCGATACATTTTCCTGATGTGCTAGTGACAAGAAACAAAGATGGGTCTGTGGTGGGAAGTATATATAGAAAACTAACATCTAAGGCACAGTATACGTACTTTCTCAACTTTGTACCAATATAATCAGGTGCCTGGCTTTTAGAGTAAGACTGATTTGTTCCAAGAAGTGTATAGGGAGAACTATTGTGTATCAGTGATATTCTAAGTGAAAATGAATATTCGGATAAGTTCATCAAGATTAACATCAACTCTATTGGTCCTAAACTAGGAGTGATGAAAGTAGGGAAGAAGCCTTTATTTCTGCGCTTACAATTCAATGGAGATGTTGCAAGTGACATTCCATCACAACGCCTAGCTAGAGCAGTCAGTAGGACGTTTTATGCTGGTCGGCTTTGCATATCATTCAGTAGTTGGCCAATGCTCAATCCGAGAATAAAAGATCGCCTACCTAACCTTAGCTCCTAATCTTGCATTTATCAATTTAGCTGTCCCTGTTGAATAAGTTACATAGGGCATACGACTAGGCAAGTGTGTCTGTGGATGCGACAGCATTAACCAGCTTGGTTCGGAAGAGGTGAAGTGAAAGTGGTGAAAAGTTCATCTAATCAACACATGGCATCACACACATACTAATAAAGCTTTCAGTGTCATTTATCGTGTTCCAAAAACAACACCATATGTTGCTCGCCAACACCTACTCAACATGGAGGAGACTGTCACAACAAGAATGATGAAACTTGAACCCTGCATTCAGAAAGAACAAGTTCAAGTGTTACTTCTCCCTACTGCCTTCAGCAAACTAACTGCTACTCCTGCCATCTTTTTCGTTATGCTTTTGTTCACTATCATATCATTCATCTGTATATGTATCATCTCAATGTTGACTAGCTTGAAAAAGAAAAATGTATTTCATTACAATCCCTAGATCTCGCTCCATTTTGAAAATGTACCTGCCCCTAATATGGCTTATTTTTACGCGTTACAAATGCACTTTATAATTGTAGAACATGAAGAGAATTTATTAAAAAGAATTTTCCTCATTCAACTGGTTGCTTTTTATAAATATTATGGGAATCTTTAATTGCGTGAAATGAATGAATGTTTAGAATCATCATAGCAACTTCCTTTTACTTTGTAATATTCATGTTTCCCTTTGATTACCTGCTTAGATACTTCACTTGGAAACGAGAGTGTGTATAGGCAGTTATCGTGCGCATCACAATACAGTACAGAAGCGTAGAAAGCAAACTACTTTAAACAACACACGCTATTTACCTTGGGTTGATCAGCAGTTTGTGGTCAGTGTGACTGATGCGTTCACAATTGCTTCGTCTTATATGTTTTCTGAATACATTTCGCACTCTGTGCATAGCATGCCACTGTTAAGGAAGTTTAATTCAAAGCTCATTCTCTCTCTCTCTCTCTAATTTTTCCTATAGAATATAATATTAATAGTGATGTTATGTGTAGAATAATATCCTGAAAAAGTAACGCGGATTCGTACCAATGTTTACACGGACCAGTTACTCTTCGTGTAGCCTGCTACTTTTGGCTTGTACTCATAAGCTCATGATTAACACAGAGGGAAAGTAATTTGGTTCAAGTAACTCCCACGGATTATAGAATTGAAAGAGGACGATAAAATAGGTTAAAATACGTCGAACTAAACATGAAGGATTTGGAAAAATAAGCAATGTATTAATAAAGAGTAGTGATATGTTTAATGTTTTAAAGATGTTTCAATATCCAAGCTGTCATAATTCATTGTACACCAGATCACATGAGGTTATTCACTGATTCTTGAGTCGTTGAGCAACATAGTTAAGCAATTTATACCAGTTACGAAGAATAAACCAGTTCTACTGGATAGCAGTGCCAACTAAGCTTCAAGATGCTAGAACACGACGTTTATCCAGCCTTGTCAAAGTATTGTGTTGTCATATGAGGAAAAAATGTCAGAAACTTTACATGAAATTTTCAACGAGGACGGAATTAGGCTCGGATTCAAACTTACAAACTCACTAAGAGGTAAGCCTTGTTGGCTGCAAGAAGCAATAAACCAAATTCATCAAGATATTTTGACCAACTGAAATTCATATAATGACTGTGAGGTCAGGCTTATAGGTCAAACTAGTCAATAGGGGTAAGTTAAATTGGTGAAATGTATGAATTTAGAAAAATGTCGAATGGTAGACTTCAGTAAGATCATTAATCTGAAAAAGAACTTGGCTATCGCAATGCATGCATAAACGCATAACTACGCAATAGGTTGGGATGAAAGCACCATAATCAAGCACAATATATTTGGGTGGAAAGAGACAGAGAGACAACTGATTCGGTGTACATCGAATTAACACACAACACATATAGTGAGAACGATGAAACATGTATACTGGAAATGTAGAATATGAGGTGATATGACAATAAAAGTGAGATGTAGAATGCTGTGTGAATACACTGATGAGATTATGCGCAATAATTTATGTTTGAAACGTCAAGTAAATAATATTGTATCACTGTGTCTTCTATCAAATAAACAAATCTAAAGTGTAAACTGTACTCTACCACGGTTCTGAAGTTTACCAACTCCCTCAAACGATATAATTTGCTACTTGTTTACAGTTGTTTCTTAACTTTGGTTTGTTACCACGGTTTCTGTTTATGAATTGCTGAGTCTTAGGTATAAAGCGAACAGAGCTACTAGGAACTGCGACTGAAGCGTTCATTTCTAGTGACCTTTAGAAACTGTTTTCTGAAAGCGTTCGTGAATTGAGTGATTCATGTGACTTAATGAATGACCTACAGAATCAAGTATAAAGTATTTGTATTATATTCGCTTTGGTGTAATTAATTAGCGATATCTTTTTGTGAGGTGTTCATGGAAGTGTGATTCAAAGAATAAGTGGACACTCTTGAATGCTTGCAGTTACAACAAAGTTAGTCTCCACTGTTTATTTATCATAAAGTGTCTCGCTTATTGCTGATATTTAAGGGAATGTGTGTTTTGTTGTTGTGTTATGAGTTATGTTGTCACCTTTTGATGGTGACTACAAATTCGATATATGTGAATGAAGTTGCATATGGGAATGAGCATGGCTGTTGAATCTGATGAAGTTCGAATACATGACTGCAGGTGGCATGTGAAGACTGTATATTAGTTAGTAACCGTAAAGGTCCAAGTAGTTTAAATCAATTGAGAACTAGAGTCGGAGTGAGAAAGCTACTACTGCCATCTGTTTTATGATGATAATGGAGATGATGATGTTGAAAAAATGTGTCAGTCAGTTAAGCTGCCCTGCTTTCCAATGAACGTTTATTAAGGATGACTCGAATGACTATGACACTGAGATTTCATCCTGAAATACATTCATGCCAGCAGTGAATTGTGAAACATTGCTATCTTTGTCAGGCACGCTTCTAATCGGTAAGTTCTCATCAGTTTACAAAATATATACTCAAGACTTATAGCCTAGCTGGTGGACCAAAGTTTATGTAGAATTATCGCTCAGGCATGTGTATTGTAGTTAAAGTTTTCACTTAGGAACAAATGCTTCTCAGTTTCCTTATTTACGAGTTTCTGATGAGTAACGTAGATTTGTGTGATTCATAGCTTTTTTAGTGAATAGTACCCGAGTGCGTTAGGCAGATATATAGGATTCTAGAATTGCATGAGTAACACCCATCTGCTTACTGAGTGGATTGAGAATTAGGTGTGGTAAATGATTAACTTTCGGGAAAAGTAGAGTAACAGAGAATAAATGAAATCATGCTCAAAGTTATTACTATAAATAATTCTTCATTGTTGTCACGAAGGATGCCTAAATTTGTATATGCACTGTTGTAAGTAACCATTTTCCTCCTTAGACCCAGGATTTGTGCTTGAATGGTAAGAGAATAATTGGCATCTGAATTTCATGTAACACTACGCATAGAAAAGCAACTGGTCACTGAATTGGTGACGACAGATCATTATTAATATCGTGGAAAATGACATCGATTTGAAGTAGCGGCTGAGACTTACCACACACCCACCACAGAAGTCGACAATTTTTTGATTACTAGTTGTACAACCCTCACAGGTGTAGCAGCTGACTGGATTTTCTGTAAAATAAATTTGGAAGATAAATGTTGAACATGGATTTCTAAGTTGAATGTAATAATCATCTTCAGTATTAGCGTTTTTGGTTAGAATTCCCTACTGATAGAATCAAGCTTCATTTATACCAAGTTATTAGATAACTGAATTGATGATAATCTCCATACAATCATACAGCTACTTTGGTATCTGCATATCTTAAATATTTATATGCACTTCTCTCTCTTATGTTCAGTCGTTTACATCCTTTTTTACTTCATATCCTCAATCATGTTACCAAATTAAATCCAATAACTCGAATAAAGCGAAATATGTTCAACTTCATAATCAAGTCTGTCATTCAAATCTAGGAATTCCTTGAGTAAGTTAAAGCAATATTTGGAATAAAATTCAACTTGTCATGGTGAGACAGGTATGGCAGAAATATAGAGAGCAGTTACCTGCACGAGCATCATTTGATAGCTATTATGTTGATCCTTCTAATTTTCACATGTGCTGAAGCTAAGTAGCTCAACGTAAGGGATGGTAGACTCAGTCAACCCAGTAATGGAACTCAGAAGGATATAAAAAAACTAGATAGTGCAGCAACAATAACATGAATTTGAGTATCTCTGTTTCAATGAAATGTCTTCTAACTCGTGCGGTCACTTATCCTGTTGATTTTGGGGATCTCTACTAGGAAAACGTCTCAAGTGAAAACTACTTTATATTGTAATAACTTTATTTTGGAATAAGCCCAGGTGATTTTATAGGTGTCTATCCTCACAGTGATTTTGATTTTCGTCGAACTAAATACAATTTTATCTTATGAAGTTATAAGCTTTTCAGCCGGACTAGTCTCAGAGGCATTGCTGCCTCAAGAAGAGTACGGGATAGGTGAAGTCCGCTCCGCTTCTGCTCACTTATTTTTAAGATATAATTTGGGGGACTCGATCATCATGATGATAATGTTATCAACTTTTTAGAACACTAGACAATTACTACACAAAATGGCTAGTTTTATATCTGCATGTTTAAGCAATGGTTGATTAGTGATTTCTGTTACAATGTTTTAAATATATTGCGAAACGTAATAACTTTAAGTTTCTGGCACTTACGAATGTAATTATCCGAGGTCTCATTATTACACAAATTTTTACCACAAAATTTCCGAAATACTTTAGGAAAGTTAACAGGAAGTGTACTCTGTCGACCAATGCATCCTCTGAATATATATTTGTTTGCCCCAGCAGTCTGTAAGTTGATTGTACACAAATATTGAAGAAAATTACAGTCATAAACATTGAAATCGGAAGATGATGTGGATAGAAATCAAGATGACTATATATATGATATAATATTTCCCAAGTAGTTTGGCTGAGGAGGTCAGATTGTTGAGGCTTCCGTGCGTAATCCTTCCATTTTTCATAGATGAGAACGCATAAGTTAGTTTGAATCGGTGCACATGAAAATGGCATTTCTACATTTGACATTCAATAAACTAATGTGAAGTATGATTGGGTAGTAAAAGGACTACCTGAGACACAACTCTATGGAAGTTGAACCTTTTGAAATGTGACTGTTAAAGCGGCTGTACATGGGTGTAAACCACAGGAATTTCGACAGTTGAATTGCCGTTGAAATGAATCCAGAGTATTGAGGGGCAATGAACACCACTCAGACCATTCATATTATATATGACTGACAGTAATCAGAAATCGTATTACCTTTCAGAGCTGAGGATATTACAGATGAATTTATCTTACTGAAAAGATATTGGTGCATCTTCAGTATTTTCGTAATAATTGGTATTAAAATACTTCCATGAGTTAATGTTACTATGTGTTGACCAAGCTACCGTTTCTACGCATCTTCTGTGTAACTTCTCACTGAATCTATATTCACCACTCTTAGGCATGCTGCACGCGTCATCTTAAATTTTATAAAAAATGTTGTCAATCTTAATGTTTGAAATGGTTAATTATGCATCATCTGAATATAATCTAAAGTGAACCAAGAGAGGTGCTAAGTTACTGTTGTTGTCATCGAGGAAAAGAAGCCAAATGTTTGCAACCTTTATGAAAATGTTATGGGAACTAGGTCCGCTAATTGTGTGTCGCCGTGAGAGTGGTGTGCATAGTATGAGCGTATAGGCGTTATGTTCAAAGCTTGATGACCAAAAGTAGATTGACTGAAAACATCCATCAACAGGCGAGTTTCAGTGCTATGGAGAAAACCAAACCTTTTAGATTCTGAAAAATCCCTTTACTATCAGTTGAATACACATAAGGCATAACCACTGGTTCGTATAAGTCACTACTTGATTGTAGAATAAAAAGCTTTTTGCAACCAAAGATATCCAATGCAAGCAATCACTCTGAAAATGTTTCTCTCCAATACATCTTAAGTAAAACAAATTCTTGATTTCGGTGATAAATGAATGACTTTTGATATTGGAGCTGAAAAGTAGCTGAAAACTATCCTATTAATACACAAACTTGTAGGTATGATGACCCTCTCCAAACTCGATAACGTCACTATGGAAATCACAGTGAAACTGTGTCAGTAATTTGATGACACTTTGGAAGAACTTTTTTAATCATTGTGGTATCAAGGTAACTCTACTACTTTGAAGCATGTTATATTCAATTCCGTTTCTTCCCTGTCATATGTAGTAGGGACAGTAAGACATTCCAGGTATCTGTGACAGACGATGAATGATTCCTACTGCATGTTTTTCACTTTGGTTCAGCAAAAAAGCTTAAGTGACCACTCTCTTTCCTTATTCTACTGAGTTAGGCGTCAGAATCGTCTCTATTTCCTATTTACCCTGTGGTGTAGTTGTATGTAATTCCAAACCTAGTCCCAGGAAAATGTTCATTTAGACTCATTTAGACCCTACTACTATGACAGATACTCTTATACATGCATTTCATTTTAGATTCATTGTAAGGGATGAGCGAGATCAAATCATTGTGTCTACTTGACTCAGTGGTAGCTGTAACCGACATAGCTTGTTTCGAAGTGAGTTGGTAGTCAGAGAGGCCAAGTCCATCGCAGGCTTTTTGGGAATCCTGTCAAACATTTTGGAGTTCTTTATGTGTGAAGGTTTTAGTCTTTCTTCATATTACTGCTAGAAATAGCATGACGATTCCTGCTTAGTCCGTTGTAGTATTTATATATTTTTAGAATTTCTGGTGATTGCTGACAAGAATATTCATCATGAAATTCCATAAAGTTGGGGGTATTTTAGCACACAACGTTCAGATACATTAAAGTGTACAGTATTTATGACGTTTTCATGATCGTTCAGATCATCCATATTTTACAGAAATTCAGTCACCAAACTAACTTACTGGTGATTCTGATTCACTTATTTTTGATTTTAACGTACATTACTGAATACGAAATCCGTGTTACTTCGAACCCTACTCCAAATTAAACAACGAATACTGTCTACTAAAACTCAGGAATTTCGAGCCATGAATGTATGATGTCTTCCTGAGACATGTGTACATGACCCAAGTGAGGTATTTCACCCGACCAACAAACCAGTGGTGTGGATATTAAAAATTCACTTCATGGGGGTCCGGAGCCTCACTGAATAGCTAATATGGACTTGCGGGTGTCTGTATAGCACTAAGTTGTGGGGGCGGAAGATGTAATTTTCAACTGTAAACCGGTCAGCAACTGTATCTTTGCTGTCCGATTAAATAGATTCATAAGAACTAGCTAGAGTTGTCAGACATGATGATACGCGTTCATAATCTCCGCCTACGTGCACACTGACTGCAGTTTGTTCGAAACATTCTATCAAAAGCTGTAAATTTTGTTATGTGAAACAAATCGTGCAGACATAGTCATAATAAATAACTTCAACACTAAATTATGCAAGTTGAGATAATCAGAAAAGGATTTTGGGGGTAACCTCGCATCCTCATACCAAGGGACTGGCAATATTGATCGTTATATGCAGTTTCGTTCTGATAATCACTTTTTCTGGGCTTCACTAACTTAAAGCATAAGAACAGAAAGTGTCTCACATGGCATTCACAGCTGTCAAATCAAAGATGGACACAGACGGATGATACTCCTACAAGTCGTGGTTGGAGAGGATCGGTAGAGGACTGACGCTCTTCTCGAGTATCCGTTTGGACACGAACTATGCGTTAAAATAGGTATGTGTATGTGTGAACCTTACTAGTTACAGGAAACACAGCGAACAAGCCTTTGTGTGCTCAATGAGAAGACTAGAACACAAAGCCTGCACAAAGGAGGAGGTAGTTAGCTGCTTGTCGGAATGCCCCAGCAATCCTCGTCCTGAGGAAACTTGGAATAATATTCGGTCTGCTGTACGAACAGCTGTAAAGGTGGTTGATAACTTGCATCTAAACGTCAGCGAAAACCAGTAGATTCCCGATACCTTATCTGAACGTACTCACTCTAGGCGGCTGTGATCATGATGAACAGTGGAAGCAGCTCAAAGGCTATTTGATGATGATGACAGTGAGCACTGGTGTGTGGTGAGGGCAAGAAAGGTGGATAAGTTATTAGCATTATGTGATACTTGGCAAAGAGAAGGCGATCTTGAGTGGCATTATCATCGACAAGGATAGGAGCCTGACAACTTTTGAGGACAGGCTGTTACAACTTTGGGTTTTAACAATTTGAAGTACAGTTCAACTGGACCACAGCAGCGCTTCAGTTGCTCAGCATCTAGGTGCAACCTGAATGGAATGGGGATGTTGATCCTCTAACTCTCATTGAAGTTCAGAAACCTGTTTAAAAGGTGGGGCGCTGCTGTACAACAAAACCTGAAGGGTTACAATCAGAAGTCATTACGGAAGAAACAAAATATCACTGATTGCAGTAACGGGGGTACTATGTAGTGCATACCACCAAGAAGTAGTCCTGTCGAACTGGTCCAAATATTTAGCCATTCACTTACATACGAAAGGAGAGTAATCTCTATGTGACAACTACAGAGGGATTCGTTTGGCTACGGTTGAGTCCAAAATCACAGTGTCTATAGTTACAAATGTCTAGTTGAGATTTGAGAATATCAAGCGAGATATATCCAACAGGTCTCAGCCATAGGCCTATGTTTTGAGAAGGTATTTCCCTTCTGAAAGAATATGGAACGTAGACATACTTATTAACAGTGGACATTTGACACTTTACTTGACACGAAGATGACATTAGGTTCTGTTGATCAAGAAGTGAATTGGTAGCATCTGTGAGTATAGAGTGTACTGAGCAATTAAAAAAGACAAATAAAGGCGTTTTCTGAATTCATCTAGCTATACAAGACTATATGCAGAATTCTTACATAAACTGTCGACATTGAATGGTGTTCGCCAAGATTTTGAACTTCATTTAGCTTCTTCTAACCTTTGTCTACTGTGATATCGCTTTTTGTTTACTTACTCATTCTTTGCATGCTACTGTAAATTTTTACCACTCAAACCAATGCACTTATTGCGAGGCTCTTTGCTGATTTTATGTGTCTGGCAATCTATCGTATACAAGTTTCCTTCTGAAAACTCACCATTCATTTGATCCTATTTCCTATCCACTTTGAAAATGGAGGCTAGGCTGTTTGATTCTTACGGTTCATCCCCCGTTCCAGGCGAGTGTATATTTTGTCATATTTGTGGCTGTTGTCAAATTGTTCAAGACCTGTTACCATCAGACTATTTGCGTCCTTGTTTCTCAGGTTATAATTGTCTTGCTGCACTCTCCATACACGCCCAATCTATTTGATCCCACTTTGCATCACTGTCCTCTCCTTTCGATCAGCAGTTTTTCTTACAAATTTACAGTCACTATTGAACTTGTGTTGGGCAATGAGTTACCCTTGAACTTCGGTAAACGTTTTCGCATAACATTCTCTGTGAAATGGCGAAATCATTACTTTTTCTAGTGCCGAGGAACTCATAGCGCATATAAGATACCTTGTGCACGAAGTGAATATTGATTATATTCCCCTGGGTTTAGATATCAATATGATTATTTGACAGCTAAACGATCCCAACTGTAAAGTAGTGAATAATGACTGTCACCTGTTTAACTGCTTCCAGTTTCGTTGATTGTATCAGGGAAGATAGCAGAGATCTGAATCCACCAAAAGAATATGTGTCTTGACTTTATTGAAGACCTAACTCAAGAGAAAATGCTGATCATTAGAAAGCTGTGGTATTGGATTAAACCAGAAAATTAGAATACTGAACGCTAGTTGACACTGTAGATTGATGTAAATTTAAAGTCATATCGGAAGTTAGTTCTCAGACTTGAGTTTAATTAGGGGACTAGGATTTTGTTTTAGTGATGTTATTTTCGACATACATTGAATCAGATAAAAATCTCATAGAATGTTATGAATAAAAGATACTCACAATGCATAATTTACACCCAGACTGCCTTAATGTCTTTGGTTTGACTTCTGGACAGAATTCGCACGAATAACAGCTGAGGTTTTCATCATCGTCTGAGCATGAAGAAATGAAAGATTTTATAACTTAGTTGTTTACAATATGAAAAATTCTCAGTTTTCAAAAGAGTTTTAATAGCAGGATTTGTATTATTTCTGAGTCAAAATTCAAAAATCAACTTACACAAACGAGTTGACGGAACTTGGGTGTGGCTTGTATGCTCTACTAATCTTCGGGAAATCGGAAGCATACGTATATTTTATTGCAGATACAAAAGTGTCCAGACACTTCAATATATAACGAAATTCAGAGCTGCCATATTCATTGACATTTGGTGGCTATTTCGATGATAATTAACTAAATTATCAACATCAAGTAGTCCAGATGTAGCAAGAGTAAACGCCTTCGTAATGGAACTTCAAACGAAATTCAGATAAAATGGAGTCCACATTCAAAATATCCTAGTGAAGCTTAACGCAAACTACCTATGAAAGATTCATATTTGTTGCTCAACATCCAGCTGCCAGAAGTGAACTCTTTGCACTCAGAATTGTCAGTATATGAAGTGATAATCAAAAATATCCAACAAATAGGTGAACAAAGGGCAAGCAAACACGAATACTTACAACTCATCACAGTATCCATTGCAAAGTAGAGAAGCAATGCAAAATATTTCTGATTTCCGTTCATAACTCGTTGATGTCTGAGTGTGGAGCTGTGCAAAATTGAAGTCAGTGTGTATGGTAGTTAGCTACTTCTCAACAGACACATTTCCACATGATGCTGGCTGCCATGTTATCCAATCATAACACACTGGGTCAGCTGATAGCATATTACTTGAGATATCTATCTGTCAGTTTCACTACAGTTACTACTCTAGTTTTGCTGAATGCCTAGCGATTGCATGAGGGAGGCTATGATTACGAATCGATTTGATTGATTCTCATCATGTAATATCGAATATCTCTATTATGGATTAGTGTTGTGATTGACTGGTATGGTTCTGAAGGCAAATAACTGTGTGTGAATGTTTGTGGAAGCTCTGATTTATTCTTCGTCTATGAAAGATAACTGTTTGTTTGTGACTGATATTCAGATGCAACAGAGTCGGTTGAGAATGAGCGATGGAAGTGTTGAGCAAGGGGAATAACGGGATATGACAGTTAGTCAGATTATTAGTCAGTACTTGTGCTGTGGTACTTGTGATGTGGAAATTTGGATGGATATTGTATGTTTGCATAGTTGTGAAGGCTACTTTGTGTGGATAGTCGAATTACTTCATTTTCTGACAAATCTAATTTTCTAACTGAAGTGGAAGAGCCAGATTATTTGCTAGAGTTTACTTTGTGTTCTGTGAATTCACTGACTGGCTTAGTGGGTGAAGTGAGTGATTTATTTGACGTGTACCTGTAACTCAGGTGTTTGATTAGTGCCCTAGGTTGTTGGTTAGTGATGTAAGCTTGATACGTGGTGATGGAGATTTGATTTGCAGGTGTAAAGTGAGACCGAATTCTTTTACTATGTTGAAGTGTACAGAGGTTTTCTGAATTTGTTGGTAACCTGATTCGCTTAGTAGATATGATACAATTGTTTCCGAATGCATTGCCTTGCAATATAAGGCGCACAACCTATTTATATTTTACTTTGTAATCCATTCATTCTACTTACTGTACGCTGGTGCATCGAAGTCATTTCTCCAGATCATGTTTTTCAGTCCTTTCTGCTCTGGATACAGAGTTTGTTAAGTTACTCCTCTGACTCTCTCTATGTCAGCTGAGCAATATAACTTTACATCGTATTGATATCTCTGCTCTGGGTAGCGAGGTCTACAAATCAGCATGAGTAACTTCTTATACACTTGTTTCCTAGTAGTTTAATCAATCTGTTTATCGCTGTTTGTTTCAGGTATGACATCTTTTTATCATAGGTGTATGTTTTCTACCAGAGTCGTTGTTGATACCACATTTTGCGGTTGAGCAATTGCTCAGCTGTGAAATGTATGCATGTGAAGAGTGTAATTGGCAAACAATTTTATACTCTCCTTTGTATTTTCTTAGTTGATTGATGATTGATTTTGAAATGGCTGCTGAATGTCACTGGATGTAAGCAACCTAGTAGAATCTACTAAACACTTGTTTCACAACGAGCAATAATGATTTCGACATGATAAAAACGATCAACTTTATCTAACACTGCCAAAATCACTCAGTGTTGTTCTCTGTACAACAAAGTCTTGATATTCAAAACTACAAATGAATTCAAGTACTCTCCCTCTGGTTGTTTTCATTGGCGCAATATTTCAGGCTTAGTTTTTGTTTCCTCATCAGACTATCACTTCAGTTTATTCTCTTAACAGTTTCAAAAGGAAGATTTTATTTTGTGAAGAATTTTGTCAATTCTATATTCAGAAAGTTACTGTATTCATGTGTAGTCATTTAAGACGCATCAAGTCCTTTTTCCAAACTCTCATTTTACATACAGCCTGAATGGGTACTCAGTTTTCTTGTTTATTAATGAACTTTTTTTCTTATTGCCATGACTGAAGCAGTTTGAGGTATGTAGCTGATTATAGCAACTCCCATCCTCAATTTCTGTTGCTTCCACACATTCTTTACGAGTTCACATCATGATTTTGCTGATTTCCTCATTAAACGTGTACTAGCGCATCTTTATCTAATAGGAAATGAATCTTAATCATTGAAGCTTATCTCACCTTTCAGACGGTTAATCACATTTAATAGAACAAACAGTAAACTAACGCTGTGATGGTGATCTTAATTACCGAGTCATCGAAAAATATGATCTCCTGTTTCAGAAGATAGTGAGCATCAGTATCGTCAATTAGAATTACCACATGATAGAAAATTGCATACGTAGTAGAATCGAGTTCACTTGTGTTCAAATCATGAGCTAGTCTTCCATATTTCAAGGATCATCACAGTCCAAAAGGTTGACAAGAAGTGCATCTATTTTCTTCTATAAATTAGGTGAAAAATGACCATATATGAAAAACTCAGGTCACTTAATGTTACATGACCAAATATTTCCAATGTGAAAATACAATGTAAGTTATTCTAAATAATAAACGCATTACAAATGGAAATAATCCACTCAAGGAAACGTAAACTTAGTGGTTTTAATATCAGTTACCGAAGAGTAACAGGAGATGTGAAAATTACACTGACTGGTCATTAGAGAGTAACCAATTTCATGTTGTCTACTCCTAAATGATGTTCTGTTTCTACATGTAATACTTGGTGAGAACTCTTCGAATATATTGGTGTATATCACTTCCCCGAAGGTTCAGTCGCATCATGAACAACTCCGTTATAAGGTTGCCAACTACAGCAGCGGGTGACATGGATTCTTATCTCGCTGGCAGGACATCAGTTCCACCTGGATTGTAGAAATGACCGGCTGACATGCACTGGCAGACACAAAACCTAGGTCCAGGGCTTTCTGTGAATTGTCCTCAACCATCTGACGCAGAACAAAATAACATCAGAAGAACGAAAAAAAGTTTTGCGCATTCGTTATTCGTGAACGTTAGATTTGATGACATGGATAGTTACGCTGAAGTGACATGGTAGCATCATCCTTCAGAACACAGCTTGGCTTCGATAGCAGTAATGGCCTTAGATTTTTCCGGAAGAAGGGTTAACTTAGCAAATATGAATGTTATTTTGTAAGCATTTTCAAATAAATAATAATGAGTGTGAAATATATATTTCTTCTTCTGTTGTTATTACTATTCCTTTCATCAACCCCAATTTTCTTATTGCATACGGATGTCTAGTCAGAGTAACCGTTATGCATAATGATTGACATTCAGTACCATGCAGTACTCTTGATTACATAAGCCTGAAAAGTGTGAGTGTGTTTTCGATATATTTGGTATACCTTATAATGATTTAACTGACTTGTTTTCAAATTGAGGAAATTGAGACAGTTTAGTAATCTAAGTTTGAAATTCAGTTAACTACAATGTTTCTTCTTACATTAGCTGGAATCAGAAAGATTACCTTTTCATTGAGATATCTAGAGACTATCTGTCACAGCGATTCACAGTAGCACTTATTTTAGTCATTTATCTACTCGTCTCTACTGACTTCATTAAGTTATGTAAGACCGGTCAACTGGAGAGTACTTACATCATGCTATAAAACTTAATGAATTTACTAAAAGTACTCAACCATGCGTGTATTTCGCAAATGTTCTCACCATATTAAGTTATATCATGGAACATATGGAAATCAGTTCATAATGTAAATTGAAAAAAAAGAGATTGATCTGACACACGTGAAATGTATTGAAGAAAACATGGGATGATTATTGAAAAAAATCTGCTCATAAGAAAGCTACAAAAGGTATTCGGCATGTATACGAGACTATACTATCGTCAGATGTGTTCTTGTTTATTATTGTAAGATATGTGGAAGGGATCAGATATTTCTCCAACAAGTAGACGTTCATCCTTTCTTCTACCTCATCGAATATAAGCACTCATGCCTGTCAAAAAAGGGGTATGTGGCAGTATTTCTTTGGAAAATCGATTTCGTTCTTGAATAACATAGGTCTGTTTTGCAACAAGGTATCCCAACCTTGTTTTCGACCATATCACAGCTGTTGAAGCAAAAGTTTACATTGGTCCTGAATCCACCCAAGTCTAAAGTTAGAATGTAAGGTCCAACAATTTGTAGATAAAACGTCTAGCCTAAAATAATGAGAGGATTTCGTATCAGCGAATTAAACACCAAATTTGTTATTGGACGGCTCCAAATAATCGAATGCTTCAATTTTTATGAATATAAAGCCGTTTTTTTCTTTCAGACTACATTTTTCAACATCTTGGTACGTAAAATTTCGAGTGTGCGTGAAAATGACTGAGATGAAAGCTGAACTAGTTAATAAATAGGATTCGAACGGTGAACTCTAGATTGTGTATCACTTTTAGTTGTGACTTTTGAAGACATATAGCGGTTGACTACGAAGTTAGTCAAATTCCACATACCAGTACATATATTGCTTACATCGGAAACATTTCGACTTTTGACAGATGCCCCGGATATTTCACTGTGATTTTTTCAAAACAGTATTGAGCTTGGTGTATTCAATGCCAAGATCTTAGCATGTTTAGTTTCTTTTGGAGTGATTCCACACACATTCATGAAGAGCTTTAGCTCGATGCTGACGCATCAAGTGGCTTTTTTATAGTCACCTTCCTATTCAAATAGAGTAGCAATGACAAATTATTCTGTTTTAAGCATTGGAAATCCTCCATTACTGATGAGTTACAATTTTTTGAGAGCCAGTGGTTTCATACGGTACATGGATTTATGTAGTGTCTAGTATTGTCATTGAAATTGGAATGCATTTTGTCGTGCATGGTAGCTACGAAATAACATCAGTTCAAGTTAACGAATCATAGTAGAATCCAGTTGCATTTTATGTCTTATGCGTCTACCTTCGTCTGTCCTACAACTTCTGCAACGAACTAATGGACAACACATATTTAAAGATTCATGAACCTATGTAAAGTAAAGTGATTACAAAGCTTCAGAGATGGGTGGCTGTTAGTCGATAGTTAGAATGGATTCTTTACTCCACAACACAGCAATGTAGTTAAATGGTTGGCCAAGAAAAGCATCACCCGGCCATTTGTCAAACTTAAACAGTTTAGCTTTTCACGTACTCATACTCATATTTCTCCCAATTTATATGACTCCATTAAACGTAGTGTGACGTGATACACTACTTCTA